AGGACCTTGAGGGGTCAACAAGTCCATCCTTCTGCTTTCCAGGAGAATTCTTAAGTAAACAATCTCAGATGGAGAAGATATCAAAAGAAAATATATCCTGTCCCTAACAGCATGCTACTTTATTCCATGTGAACATTTACATTTACAATTTGCGATTTTCTAAAAACGAAAGTAAAAATTAAAACCCCAAAAGAGGAAGGTGCTTTAAAAATGCATTTATCAGCTAAAATTGCTCAAACATAAATTCGATTATCAGTTCTAAAATTGACGCAGAAAAGTTGTTGGCTGCCAACATAAAGTCTTAGTCCCTAGAGATGTCTTCTGATGTTCTATCTTATTTGTAGCACCATTTCACCTACAACACATAGCTTGACAAACTCAGACCACCACAACAATAAAGTATAATTATAAACGGCAATTCTGTATTTTTTTTTTTTTTACAGGTGGTGTAGGTTTTTATTCCAAACAGAAAATAAAAAGTTAGGTTTAAACTGGAGAGGTCAGTATTACAGGAAGCTACAATACAATTGTTACATGGGCAATAGTTTAATTCTTTAATATGTAACTTAAAATGTTTAGGGAATAATGTTTCTTCTGAAAATAGTTTCCAAAACAGAATTTCATCTGATGACAAAAAGCATGCAACTATAAAGACACATTGTTAATCATTCTATATTTATTTTTTTAAAAAGGTGGGGAGCATACCAGAAGTCTTGGAAGTAGGAAAATCATACTCAATAAAATAAGGGGCAGGGGAGGTAAAATCCCTAAATAATAGACTGATAATTATTCTTTCCCAGGAAGATTATAAAATTAATAAAGATGGCTTATGTAATGCAGTAATCTACAGACACTAGCATATTTAAATAATAACTAATGTCTAACCTCATTTTCTTTTTGACAGGGTCTCTAGCCTAGGAGCTCAGGGATATGTCAGAAACAATATATTAGATTTCAACAGGGTACCTCAAAACTTTATAGGAAATATAGTGTAGATGATAAAACAGTACGTGGATTCAAAACTGAATTTCACCAACCCAAAAGGTTGATTAATGGATTAATATCAATCTAATGATCTAATGATAGCGTGCTGTTATAGCATTGCTCCACTTTTTGTTTTTATCTCTCTTAATCCCACCCCCCCACACACACATATACACTTCCACTCCTGACCTATGGATGTTGCCGTTTCCCCTCAAGAACTGGATCTCTGAAGGTGGGGCGTCTCCTCCCACATACTCGGGGCATGCACCTGGGGCCTGGTGCACCCGGGGTATGGTCCGTGGCTCCACCTGGTGTGAACCCAGGACCTTCTGCGTGTAAAGCAGATGTGCTAACCACTACACTATGGAGCCACCTCCTGCTCCACTTATATATATTTACTAGTGACATCAAAACCATAGGTGTTATGTTTATGTTGTTTATCGAATTTATCTATCAATGATAGAAAGATATGAGGAATGCCCAAGAGGCAAAATAACATTAACAGCTAAAACAATAAACCAAAACTAACAAGATGACAATTACAGGGATAAATGTAAAGTCCTCAATTACATTTAAAATATCAACTAGGCTTTAAAAATAGAGGTACGAATATAGTTAACAAAAAAAAAAGATACCACTCTCCCCTGTACTTTTTGTTGATCAGATTATATGTGAGATGTTATATTCAGATCATGATAAAAGCCCTAAAAACTTTTTTTCATTTAAAAATATTTATTGAGCAACTACTACATGCCAAGCACTACACTAATCTTAGGATTTTCAACACTAAACTGGACATAATCCCTCCACTCAAAGACTTTACAGCAAGAGAGACAAAACAAGTTAACAATTACAATATGGTGTGATAAGTATAGGAGAAAAGCGCTGAGTGATATAGAAGGGGCACCCAATTCAATCGGAAGGATTCTGGATAGGATAACAACTACGCTGAATCCTAAGTGTGGGTAGGCGTCACCTGGGAGAACTGCTACAGGGTTGTTGTGCAGAGGTAAGAAACAAACTGTTAATCACTGCAAGTAAGAAGCCCTAAAAACTTAGTCAACTAAGTTGATGAGGAGCCCGAACTTTATTAAAAAATGTCATTTAAGGAACGGCTGAAAGAATTTGGGATATTTACCCCAGTAACAAAAGCTTTACCAAGACATAACTGTCATGAAATAGTTAAAAGGCTACCGTGTTGATGAGGAATTGGGTTTATTTATTGTAGCTTCAGGTGGCAGAACTAAAGAGCTTCCGCACAATGTAAAGAATGTTCTAAAAGTGGAGCTCCAAAATGTAACAGGGTATCTGTGAAGTGGGGATCTTTTCCTTACAGCATTCTGAAGTTAAAAGACTGTCCCTCAGAGATTCCAAATATGATGCCTTTTCACATTTCATGAATATCCTTGATCCTAAAAGAAGCCTGTTAGGGGAAGGCAACGTTCAAAAATGAGAAACTTAAAAATTGTTTTCTTTGACATGTTTCTAAAGAAATGCAAGACTTTTCATGAACTCTAAAATCATAGTACGATTTTCTGAGAAACAAACAACAAAAATTAATGCTTTCTCTTTTTAAATGAATGCTACATTTGTTTTTCTCAAAGAAACAACATCTGCACCTTAACTTTAGTTTATCATGGAATAAGGGACAATTATATGTTAGCCTGCCAACTAGTCTCAAGAAGAGAGCTGTCTTTATTAGACATTATATGGCAATGCTATTTGCTCCACCCAAAACTTCCTCACAGGGAGAAAGCTCCTCCTTATCAGACGTGGATAGGAGACTGCTTGCTGTAACACTGACTCCCTCCTCCTGCAGCCTAGGAAAAACTCAGTCTTGACATGTACAAAACAGTAACTTGTGAGAACTTCAGAGTAGCTGTGTTCAGGCAGAGCCAGGGACTTTACTTGAGGCAAAGTAGTAGCTTAAGAGTTGGTTGAAAAAACAATTTTCATTTTGGGTTAGAAGTAGGGAGAGGAAAAAGAAAGGAGAATACAGTAACAGAATCCACTGACAATTAAAAGCCATGGTAAACAAAAATACTTAAAATCATAACACTGAAACTATCACAGAATGTAACCTTTGATACACAAATTTAAAGATGAGCAGCACTCTTCAGCTTTCTGCTGTGTGAATGCTAATGGGAAAAAAAAAACAATCTTGCATTTAATAGTGCCCAAGTCAAAGCCATCACAAATTCTAGGATGCAAGAATAAAACGAGGCATTTTGCTATCTCATTGGATATTTCTTTGTGCTGCTGCCAGGCAAACTGTGAAAATGTCTGAATGTCCAAAAGTAATGCTCTAATGGGAAATACTGCTACCCAATTCAGTAAGTAATGCTAAAGGTTCACTAATTAATTGATCTCAATGTGCTGTAGGGGCGACTTCCTGGCCAGGAGAAAAAGCTTCAAATGTCTCCTGAAAACCAAAGGTTACTACAAAGCAACATACTCTGGTTTCTCTTCATATTAACAGCTTTACCAGTATTTCAGATATTATTTTGCTTCTCAAAAGTAAAAGTAGAAGAGGAATGTAAAAGACAAATCTGTGCAATAGCAAATAAGTTATTAATTGGCTGTATTGGCTCAATTCATTTTTAAATAACACAACTATCAAACAAAGGGTAAAGGCTTTTCATTTTTTCTGTACAGAATTAAGAACAAACTGGTAAGACTACTTAGTATAGCTGCCAAACTTTAGCTTCTTACAGACATGTTACATTTCGCAACAGTCTGCACTTACCTTACATCCTCCATGTTTAAGTACAAATTGTGTTTGATTTCTCCTAACCCCTGCCCTAAGATACAATGACATATCTTTAGCTTCTGAGTCTGGATACAAAGGAAGAAACCAAAAAATTTTCACTTTTTTGAAATACGTGTCCATTTTATTTATATCATTTAAAAATATATAGCATAAGCTAACGAAAACTAATTGCAACCATCCACTTAACTCTTCAAGAATATGAGTAAGATCACATTTAATAAAAGACCTCAGTTTAGTATATTTTTCTGTGCTTAGAATACCTATAAAGACAGATGTCTCTACAAGAATTACTTACACTATTGCAAAGTTTTAAACACAGGAATCAAGAGAGCTTGCCGAGAAAACTCTGTACAGCCCCACAAACCTACACATATTATGACACAACCCTCAGAGATAATAAAACACTCCTGTTAAGGAGAAAACAAACTTTTAAAGTTAGGGAAGTAGCAACACGGGAATCTGGGTAGGAGGTGCCCTGGGTAGTAAACACCCCAGTCAGAGAACATAACAAGCAATTCAGAGCAACACATAACTCCCTACGGGGCTCCAACTTGGACCGCTTATGTCCCAAGCCCCCATCCCTGAGTTAGGAAGAAATGAAATGTGGGAAAAGAAAGAGTGGGAAAAAGGAAATCAGAGTAGAAGTGGTGAAAGTGTTCTACTTTTCTCCTTTTCTACCCCTATCCAGCATTATGGCAGGTTGGTCACCAGACTGGGTGCCATATCCACCAAAAGCCCTAAATCAATATCCTAAGTTTCTTCTGATACCTAGGCTCCAGACCTGTATATATTAGCCGTCTCCTTTCCAAACACCTCCCCTGCACCTCTGGATTCCCCCATATCCTTTTCAAAGTGATGCCTTTTGGCTACAGAGCCCATCCCTATTAAGTCTTCCTAAACTCATACTTAATTTTTCCATATTCATACTTTTTCTCTGAAATCATGTCCCTGATATTTTTTATAATTCAATCGAAATGCCATGACTCTAATTTCCAATGATTTATCCCTCTTTCCAGCCAAACCCCATGCCATGTTTTCACCCACTCATCCCTACCTCCTGCCTATTAACTCTGCTTCTTCCAATGCCAAGCCCCTAATCCCACTCTTTGAGAAGCCCTGGGTCTTCAACCTTTCTCTCATTCCATCCCATTCCTTGATCCTTCCATTAAGCTACACTAGACTTCCATTCCCTCAGGATTCAACTCCCCTCTTCTCGCCACGCCCTGTGCCCCCCGGGGCTACTTACCCCCAAGTTCTCCCCACACTTCAGGCCTCTGGCCCCGCCTTCCCCCCAAAGGAAGGAGGCGGGATTTTTTTTGAGGGACGGCACACCGCAAGGTAAAGACGATCTCCCATTAGTGCTCATCGCCGCCAATCGTAGCTTCCTTCTCTCTTATTGGCCACCGTTACTTCATTTCCCACCCTCTTCCTCAGACAGGGCCCGGCCACCGCCTCTGCGCCCCCGTCCAACACAGACTGGGAGGGGAGACCCCGGCCTGGGACGTTGGGACTGGCCAGAATTGAAGGGGAGGCTCTCGTCACATCATGGACTAGTTAATGTTAACAGGACTCACCCGCTGGTAGCTCCGTCGCCTCCCGCCCGCCCGCGCTCGGTCCCACAATCTGTTTCCAGCTCCTTCTTTCCCCCCTTAGCCGAGCAGACACTTTCCTCTCGTCCGGCCAGGCGCGCTCACCTCTCGCGAGATATTGGGGGGTGGGGGGGTGGAGGAAGGGCGAGATCCGTAAGGCCTGAGTTGGAAAGAGGCCGAGGGGCGGGGCTCCGGGAAAATGAAGGGGCAGATTTTCGGTGGGCAGGGCTTGCCAGCGAGACTGAGCGAGTTGGGGACACACAGTTCACGAGTGTAAGGCTGAGAAATGTCCGGGGCCGGGGGGGAGGTTGGGGGGGGCAGGGAAGAAAAAGAAGGAAAGGGAATTCTTACAGGTGCCTGTTAATAGTGATCCAAAAAGTGAAGTAAATATTTTAGGAAGTGATATTATCTCGAAGGAGCGCACTTTAAAAACGAGACAAGATTACACCTCAGTGAAGCTGTTAAAAAGAAAAAAGTGGAGGAAAAACCCGAGGCCGGTACACAGGGGATTCAGAGTTCCAGACAGTTGAGTAGTTGCATTTTCTTTGCATCACTGTGGCCATGATCTCTGCTGTGTGTGTGGCTGTATAAGGGGGTAGGTGAGAGGAAAGTATTTCAACTGCAGAAACCGGCGACTTTTAAAACGTGTTCATGTTGTTTCCACTATCCTCCAAATTCATCACTTCCTTAATGGCAGAGTAGTTTGAAATACCGTTAGCCCTAGAACTGGAATGAATAGAAAAAGCAAGCCCCCAGCGCAGCAATCCTTTCATTTAGCCCAATGGTCTTAGCTGAAATGCTCTATGAATTTCTTTGCAATAGGGGGAGCAATCCCATTTTACTCAAAAAATTGTAATGATCAAATGAGGTAATATATATGAAACTGGGAATTAAAAAGCACTATGTTTATTACTCAGCATTTTAACAAATACTTAACAGGACATGTGTGCAAAGCACTGTTCTAAGCCTGGGGAGAAGAGCAGCAGACCACCAGGTTCGTGCTCTAGTATAACATATTTTGGTGGGGAGAGGGAGACAGTTAATAAGCCAATAAATAGTTCAGTTAGTGGAGAGTGCTTCAGGTAATGAGACAGAAGGAAGCAGCTTTACTCCGGATGTTGAGAGAAGGCCTCTTTGAAGAAGTAACCTTTGAACCAGGAATTGAACTATGAGGAGACAGCCCTGGGAAGATTTTGGGTAAGACATTAAAGGCAGAAACTGTATTAAGAATTTTCTCATATGGTTACCAAGAGGTAAATTTTATGTTACTTTTTTTTTTTACAACGTAAAAATAACTTTTAAAAAATATCATAGTTATAAGGAGAGTTGACTCAAAATATTACCTATGGGATCTCTTTTCCCTCAGGTAACTTCCTTCTGCAACTTTATATTACGAACTTCCTGCCTAAGATCTCATTTGTCATCATAACACTCTCTGAAAGGTAGAAAGAATCCAGGTGATTTCTCCCTCAGTAGCGAAGGTGACCCAGAAGCATAGAATCATTTATGTTCTTGTGAAGTGAATTGAGAAAAGTTGAGAGGAGTCTTGGCTTCCAATCTACTCTCTTCCCTAAAAAAATTCCTACTTAAAAGAATATAATCGTAGAACTAGATCCTCAAAAGAATACAATTGTAGAAACCCTCAAAATTTGTATGTAACAGAGGTGGCATTACAAATCACAGTGGAAGGGATACTACAAATTGTTAGAATAATTGGCTATTACATTACTCTATACATACAGAAAAAATATGATACCTAACATTTATAGATTCTTCTATGTTCCAGGGAGCATTTTAAGTGTTTTATATGTATTAATTTTTTCAAAATTTATATCTCCAACTATCTCTCCCCTGAACTGTAGCAGACTAATCTCTCCAACTGCCTACTTAACAAATCTACTTTGAAATCTGTATTTCAAACTTAACATGTCTAAATAAATTCTTCCTTTCTCTCCCACATGTGACAGTTCCCTAGTCTTCTTTATCTTAGTAGAAGGTACCTCCATTGTTCCAGCCACATTTTTAAAATTGAGATATAATTCACATAGCATAAAATTCACCTTTTTTAAAGTGTACAATTCAGTGATTTTCAGTACATTCGCAGTTATGCAACTGTCACCAATATCTAATTCCAGAACATTTTATCACTCTTAAAAGAAACCCAGACTCACTAGCAGTCACTCTTCATTTACCCCCACCAATCTACTTTCTCTTTTTGTGGATCTGTCATAGACATTTTATATAAATGGGATCATATAATATGTGGCCTTTTGTGTCTGGCTTCTTTCACTTAGCATACTGTTTTAGGGTTCATTTATGTTGTAGCGTGTATCAGTAATTTATTCCTCTCATGGTAGAATAATATTCCATTGAATGGATATACCAATTTTTTTGTCCATTCATCATTTGATAGACATTTGGGTTGTTCTCACTTTCGGGCTATTATGAATAATGTTGCTTTGAACATCCATGCACAAGTTTTTAGGTAGACATTGTTTTCAGTTCTCATATACCCAGGAATGGAACTGCTGAGTCATATGGTAAATCTATGTTTAACTTTTTGAGAAATTACCAACTGTTTTTCATAGCAGCTGCATCATTTTACATTCTCACCAGCAATGTATGAAGCTTCCAATATTTTTGCATCCTCACACCAACACTTTTATTGTCCTTCTTTCTGATTTTAACCATCATAGTGGGTGTGAATGAAGTGGTATCTTAGTGGTTTTAATTTACATTTCCCTAATGGCTAATAATGTTGAACATCACTTCATGTACTTATTGGCCATTTATACATCTTCTTTGGAGAAATGTCTATTCAATTTCTTTGCCCATTTTGTAATTGGTTTACTTGTTCTATTATTGAGTTGTAAGAATACTTTATATATTCTAGCTAATGGACTCTTAACAGATATATGATTTGCATCTATTTTCTCCCATTTTGTGAGTTCTTCCAATTTATCTTTTGTTGTGCTGTTGGTGTCATATCTAAGAATTCACTGCTTAATCCAAGGTCACAAAGATTTACACCTATGTTTTTTTCGAAGATTTTTATAGTATTATCTCTGTATTTAGGTCTTTGATCCATTTTGAGATAATTAAAAAAGTTTTTTCAATTATAGTTGACATTCAATATTATATTAGTTTCAGGTGTACAGCATATTGATTAGACATTTATATAACTTACAAAGTGATCTCTCAATAAATCTAGTACTCACCTGAGACCATACATAGTTATTACATTATCAACTGTATTCCCTATTCTGTACTTTACATCCCTTTGACTATTTGTAACTGACAATTTGTGCTTCTTAATCATGTTACCTTTTTCACCCCGCCCCCTGATCTCCTCCCATCTGACAACTATCAGTTCTATGTTTCTATGAGTTCATTTCTGTTTTGTTTATTCATATATTTTGTTTATTTTTATTTTTATTTTTTACAGTAGAAAAGAACAGTTTTATTAGACAGGAAAGTACACTTCTAGAAGTGGAAGCGGGCCTGAGCAAGAGAAGCGTGGCTCGAAAAGCTATATTTTGTTTTTTAGATTCCACATATAAATGGAATACCACAGATAGTATTTGTCTTTCTCTGTCTGATTTATTTCACTTAGCATAACAGCCTCTAGCTCCATTAATATTATTGCAAATAGTAAAATATCATTCTTTTTATGGCTAATATTCCATTGTATATATGTACCACATCTTCTTTATCCAGTGATCTGTCGATGAACACTTAGATTGCTTCCATGTCTTGGCTATTTTAAATAATGCTGCAGTGAACATAAGGATCCATATTTCCTTTCAAATAAGGATTTTGGACTTCTTCACATACATACCCAGAAAATAAGATTGCTGGGTCATATGGTAGTTCTATTTTTAATTTTTTGAGGAACTTCCACAATGTTTTCCATAGTGGCTGCACCAATTTGTAGTCCCACCAACAGTGCACAAGAGTTCCCTTTGCTCCACATCCTCAGCAACACTTAGTGAGATAATTTTTGTACATAGTATGATATGGGGGTCCAATTTTATTCTTTCGCAGGTAGATACCCAGTTGTCTCAACACCATTTGTTGAAAAGCCTATTCTTTCTCCCATTGAATCGTCATGGCATTCTTATAAAAATTTAGTTGACCTTAAATATTTGGACTTATTTCTGGTGTCTCAATTCTATTCCATTGTTCTGTATGTCTATCCTTATGCCAGTATCAAAAAGGCTTAATAACAGTACCTTTGTAGTAAGTTTTGAAATCAGGAAGTGTGAGTACTGCAACTTTGTCCTTTTTCAAGATTGCTTTGGATATTCTTCTGGGTCTCTTGCATTTCTACATGAATTTTAGAATCAGCTTATCAGTTTCTTTAAAAGAGCCATCTAAGATTTTGATAGGGATTGCACTGAATCTGTATATTAATTTGGGGAGTATTGCCATCTTAATGATGTTAAGTCTTTCAATCCATGAATATGGGATGTCTTTCCATTTATTTAGGTCTTCCTAATTTTTTTGAACTGTGTTTTGTAGTTTTCAGTGTACAAATCTTTCACTTATTTTGTTAAATTTACTCATAACTATTTTTTCTATTTTATTCTATTGTAAATGAAATTGTTTTCTTTCTTTATTATTTTTATTATTTTAGGCAAGGCAACCCTTGGTTGACCTCACAGATTAAAAGGAGCTTGTCAGCTTACAGTCCCTTATTTTTTATTTTTTACGCCTATAGCACCTGGTCTTCTGAGGTGGTCTCCCATCCAAGTACTAACCAGGTCCGACCTTGCTTAGCTTCCAAGATCAGATGGGATCGGGCTTGTTCAAGGTGGCATGGCCATAGGAAATTGTTTTTTCTTAATTTTGTTTTCAGATCGTTTATTGCTACTGTATGGAAATACAATCAGTGTTTGTATACTGATCTTATATCTTGCAATCTTGCACTTTTTTATGAACTCTAATAGTTTTCTTATAGATTCTTGAGGATTTTCTATGTATGAGATCACGTTTGTAGAGATAGTTTTACTTCTTCCTTTTCAATCTAGATGCCTTTTATTTCTTGTTCTTACTTAATTGCTCTAGCTAGAACCTACAATAAACTTTGAATGGAAGTTGTGAGAGTGAATATTCTTGGCTTGTTCCTGATTTAGGAGGAAAGACTTTAGTCTTTAACAATTAAGTATGCTAGTAGCTGTGGATTAGTTGTAGATGCCCTTTATTGCATTAAGAAATTTCCCTTCTATTTCTAGATCGTTGTGTATTTTTATCATGAAAGAGCGTTTGATTTT